GATTGCATGAAACTTATGCCAAGAATTTGTTTAACGCGATTGTTTATGAGCAACCTCCACTACTTGTGAATATAAGTTCATAACTATTACGTGAAACTCACTTATATTCTAGCGTCAAATTCATGCATGAAAATTAAGCGTTCATTCTTAATAAACATACATAAATAGGATATCAATCAAATAGTTAAACAAATTGAATTCACAACTTATGAAACGTAATTAAAAGTAATCAAATCGTATTGCAAGCATAAACATATATTTCGAATCACCCCCTAGCTAAGGGGGGTTTAGTTCCTCATACTTACAAAACAAAGAGAATTGAAATTAAACATTGAAATCAAAGAAACGCCTAAACATTCCAACAACTCAAACGTGAATTGTATGAACGTTTAGGCCCTCTTATCTTCCTCTTCGTTGTGGCACAAGGTCTAAGGATAGTTGGTTTGGGGGAATGGAAGTGTGGAATGAAGTGAGGAGTGATGGAAGTGGAAGAGGAGTGGTGTTTGGATTATAAGAGAAGGGGGACTCACGGCTAAGGAAAGAATGGAAGTGTTTGTGGTGTGTTGTGTATGAAAATGAGATGATTTTGTGAATGGAATGCAAGGGTATTTATAGGAGGAGTGGAGATGTGAATGGCTATTTGTTTAAGGTGTTTGTGGCTGCAATGATGAAGAGTTAGAGCTGGAAATGAATGAGAAAGCTGGAAAGGTAGTTGAATTGCACGGCACAAGTGTGAATGGTGCTGTTTTGTATGTGAATGCATGCTGGAATTGCATGTGAATGCATGCTAGAATGGGATTGGGATACACGGCAATGAGTGGTGTTTGGTGCTGGAAATGGATGTGGCTTCAATCTGAAAATGGGAGAGCATGTGCAAGGCAAGGATGTGAATGATTATGGAGGGGTGTGGCTGAAATAACATGTGGAAAGGTTGGAAAGTTGGAAAGGTGAGTGAAGGCCACGGCAATGGGATAGAATTGTGCTGAAAATGCATGTGAATGCATGCTGGAAATGCAATGTGAAGTCACGGCATTGACTTATTGTTTGTGTAAATGTGTGTGAATGCATGTGTGTTAGGTGGAATGTAGGGGGAATAATGATGAAATGGGAAGTGGAAAGGGTATGAAATGCATGGCAAAAAGGGGTTAATGGTGCTGGAATTGTTGATGTGCACGGCAAAGGGTGAAGTGGATGTGAAATAGGCGTGCATGTGTGTGAATGTGATGAAAATGCATGTGATGCATAGCAAAGGGCTTTGTTTATGTGTTGGCATGGGAATTTCTGGTTCTAAGGCTTTGTTTGATTGGGCTAGGCCCTTTGTTTTATGTTCTAAAGTGCACACAAAGCTTCAATTTTGTCCAACACTTTGGCTCCAAGCATAAGCTATCCATTCTTGGCCCAAAAATGCTCCAAAATGCAATTCTTTGCTCCTTTAGCCCTTAGAACCTGAAATCATACGAAAATGACTTAAAACACTTAAAGAACTAAGAAACAACAACATAAATGCACGAAAACAAGCTAAGTAAGTCGCCTAAATATGCTCCTATCAATGGATTCTCGAAGTTCCCAAAATAGGGAACCTCTAAGTCTCCACACCAAGGAGAGCATTGAGGAAGAGATGAGTGACCTAGAGGAAGAAAGATTGCTAGCTATTTTCCTTTAGGATGGTCGGCCTTCTAAGAGAAGAGAGAGCATTGAGTTTTCATATTTTCTCTCTAGAAAACCCTAATGAACTTTTGGCTATGAAGTCCTCTATATAGTCGTTTCACCTAAGTGACAAACGGAACCAAAACCCATTCATTTACAATATGGCCAGCCTTCTAAAGGCTTTGGGCTGTTTGGGCCCTTTTGAATCTTTAGTTATTAAGTTGTCATACAACTTAAGTTAATGGGCTTGACGGTTCTAAGCCCAATGGGCCTTGAGGTCCAATAATTACTCAAAAGCTAAAACGAACTTATTCATTTGATTAATTAACATATTAATTAATCCTAGCCATAAATAATTAAACCATTTAATTATCCTTACTCATCTCCGTTGTTTTTTCAATTTGTACTTTACACGGTGTACAATCCATTAGGTTCCTTTTAGCGAGGCAGTGAGTGATTAGAACTCTTCAAATCGATTGTGAATTAAAACATACTTTCAATTCTCCCTTTAGTGATTATACACCTTTAGGGCTTCCATAAACCATGAGTGACACCTAGCAATATATCATGGCTACCCAAGCTAATCAGAAGAGGTGAAGAACCTATTAAGTTTAGGATTACAATGCAATACGGTATTTCTCTACTAAAATACTCTTGACCACATTGCTTGGTTTGATAGTTTATTCATGTCTACTATCCAATGTGATTCTTTTACTTATATGATTACCTTGAATGTGATTTGGAATGACTTCCTAAATGTCATTCATACTTTGGCCAGAGATTCTTAATCATATCATAGAGTATTCTCCCTTAAACGGTTTGAAGGTTAGATATCCCTTGTTGTCCATTCACTTACCTCCATGGCTACGTGGCTTAACCCTAACTATGTCGTGGACACCCTTTGAAGGAGTGGCCTTGACATGGTCAAAGATCAAGGACCTAACCACAAGACAACTTTGATGCCTCAAGTCAAATGATTACTTTGCATTATCCCAGCCATGAGTTCTCATGTGACATGAGTATGACAACTCCTTGTTGATCGCGTTCAGTGGACTCATTCTCTATTTAGCACCTACATGATTGTCTTGGTGTCAGTCACACCAATAACTCGAGATCAGTCACTCTCCCTAAGAGAAGACATATCACGTATTGATCTTAACGGACTGTCAATGCCCAATTGGCAATCCTATGATTAGGAACGTTTAGGATATGTATACGAAAGAGAATGGTCTCATGAATCTAACTTCTTTAGATCACATTCTCCCAATTACATATTCCTTGGACTTATCGTTTAAGCATATAACATTTAAATGAGACAGCTTTAAACAATAATCTTTGCCCTTTATATTAAACTAGATTAGTTTAACATGTGACATGTCAGTAAAGTATCATCATATGATTGGCTTTAGGGCACATTTCCAACACAAAGATTGGATTAAATCTGTCTAACAGTTTCTGCGGTTGCTTGAGTTGCACGGCGTGAGTTCATAGGCCTTCATCTTCTTATGCTCTATCAAATAAAGGAATAATCCCAGATTGGAGATGGCAATGTCCTTATCTATATGGTGGAGTGAAACCTCATGAATTAAAGGGGCATGAGTATCACAGTGATGGAGCTTGTACTTGAATCCATTCTTGGAGAATTCCATCGTCAACAGTTGGAAATCCCACAAAACTGGGCTAATGGATGACAACTAATAGACCCCTAGAACAATGTCACACCCACCCAATGGCAGAGAGTATAGGTCCACAGAACAATTTAACCCTCAACAGAGAGAGCAGCCCCCATTCAACAAACTGAGCTATTAACCTTTCCAGCATCTGCAATCATAACTTTAAAAGGTTTGGTAGGTTGAGTGTGCCAAGCAAATCGTTTGAGCAACCTAGAATCCACAAAGTTATGTGTACTGCCAGGATCCAGAAGGATTTTCACTATTTGTCTATTCACTGTACTAATGACCTTCATTGTTTGCACATTGTTCTTAGTGAGAGTGCCATAGAAAGCACATTCACTAAGTTACATATGTTGAAATTCTGGGGAAGGTTGAGAAGGTTCTTCCAATGACTGAGCATCAATGACATACTCACAAGGAGCCAAATTAAGCATTAAAAGCTGCTTGTTAGCACACTTATGCCCCCTACTCCATTTCTCATCACAAAACCAGCAATCTCAACAGCCACTTTTGCATTGAATCTCTTCGGGAAACAGACGCTTCAAAGTAAAATTGGGTGTTCTAGCAAGGGAAACATTTAGAGTAGTGTTGGTGGTTGGTGCATGCAACTGAGGAAGAGGCTTAGGGTACCCAGGTTTGAGATCAGCCAATTGGCATCAATTTGCAAGGCAATAGAGATAGCTTTATGTACAGTAGAGGGGCGTTATAGTTTTACATCATACTTGAGTTCACGCTTTAATCCTCCCAGAAAACAACTCTTAAGAAGAATAGGTCCTAAATCTTGAGTTCTATTAGCCAATCTTCAAATAATATAGTAGGGTACCTGATTATTTCAGTTTGAAGAGTGCCTCTGCACTATCTTCAAACTCAAAGGGGCCAAATTCGCGACAAAAGGCACGGGTGAAGTCTTCCAAGCGAGGAGTACTTTGGAGACAATCATGTCAACAGAACCACTGGAGTGCCTCCTCGTCCAAATGGAATGAGATGGTGACAACCTTTTGGTGCTTAGCGGTGGAGTAGTACGCAAAGAACTGCTCAGATTTGTAAATCCAAGCCAGTGGATCTTCGCCAGGAATGAATCTGGGAAACTTAATTCAAGGTTGCCACTGGTGGCGCGGATTGGAACTACCACCTTCAAGAAGCTCACGACGAGTAGTGCGATTAGGGTTGATGTCACCAGTATCGAGAGGATCGGTGAGAATCACTGGCGGAACAGGGTCAAATTTAGAGGGAACATCTCCAGTGCCCCTAGCACAAGCTTGTCTGAGACGAAATTGTTCGAAAAAAGAGGCCAGTTTCATCTCCAGAGAATCGGAGAGAGCAGCGACTGAAGATTCCAGAGCTGCAATCCGAGCATCCATCAGAGAGAAGCGAGTGTTTAGATTCGAGCGGGGCATGCAAAGAGGGAAACAAGGATAGAAAATTGGATGATACCAATGATAGAAACCTACATCAACCAAGCAATTGTAGCAATGGAGATAAAGAGAGGGACCAGAGGAAGGAAGAAGACGAGCAGAAAACTAGTGTGGTATTTTTTTAGTATATTCTCCTAATAACCGTTGTGAGAGCATTGAGGCTATTGCTCCATTTAAAACATCCCAATGGGAAATGCCAACTCAACATTCCACTAGTTAACTCACTCACTTACAAAACAAACTCCTTTCTTATTTAAAACAACAATGCTATTCTTACCACATTAATATACCACATTAGTATACCACATTATGTGGCATCTGATGTGGCTGTCCACATCATCAAATTAATCATAATTTAATTTAAATTAAAATCTATTTAATAAACTAATAATAAATAAAAAATCTGAAATTAAATGGTATTTGTGGCATACGAGGAGTCTCCTCTCCTCTCCTCTCCTCTCATTCCTTCCCCGATGCTTCTTCTTCCGTTTCTTCTTCCATGCCATTTTTTTGTTTTAGCCCAGATTTTGTTCAGCAGCCTCGCCATTGATGGAAGCAGATCTTTTTGTTTCAGTTCTCAAACCATTGAGGTAAGAATGCAAACCCAACTTTCCAAAATAAAAAATCTGAAATCATTTCCTCTTTCAGTTCTCACTCTCTCTCTCTCTCTCTCTCTCTCTCTCTCTCTCTCTCTCTCTCTCTCTCTCTCTTCTACAGGTACAGGACCTAAGTAACTAGTCTAGCTTATTGCAAACCCAACTTTCCAAAATAAAAAAGAGACTAAGGTGAATTCCTGAAAATTTGTTCATAGAAAAATGACACTGGGGGTTGAAGAAGAACCCGAAAATTTGGAGGACACTAACCACGTGATGATTATTAGCAACCCCATATATGAAGGTAATTATTTTTATTATTTATTGGCATTCAGGTTCTACTTATCTGTTAATTTGATTCAAGAAATTGGAGTTTTAGTTTCATTTTTCTTTTATGAAAAGCTTGGAAAATTTGTATATACCATTTACTGGAGGTTTGTAATTCTTAGATTAATAGAGTAAACAAAACGGTTTGAATGAAACCCACTCGATATAAATGTATATACCCCATGCATACAAACAAGCACATACATATTTTTATAGCTCTAAAATCTTCAACGAAGTGGGATATAACTTTTAAAAACTTTTAAGAAGTGCAATATTTATAAATTTGTAAGCAATTGAGATTTCCTTTTTTTGTTTTTTTTTTTTTTTGCTACTCGGTCATATTGTCATCTTGTTGTGCATCTCTTTCAAAATCTTGATATCTAATTATCTGATCTTTGTGTTCCATTGCCTGTGTTTAAATTCTTCTTTTCATTGAAATTTCTACTGCATAATAATTTTAAGCAAGTTACATTTTTTCTATGTCTTATGAGATGTTAGTCTATACCTATAGGCTATTAATATAGCTTGTCCAATGCCCTCCCCAGTGATTGTCAACAAAGAGGTTCCATGAATTATGTATTTGCCTCATACAAACTTCTCCTCATTTTATTTTTCCGCATGGAAACTTTTTGTTTCAGCTACTCTCTTTGCTCGATTCGGTGCACCGTCGAACTCCTACGACAAGGACTTTTCACTTTCCAGTCTTTGTATAATTTAATTTTTCTATCTAAAATGCTTAATTTTGTTGTGGGGTTTGTTTTCTCAGCCATTGCAGTGCATACACTAGAATTGAGAGACTTGCACATATGGCTAATGTATTTACATTGATAGTATGGTGTAATATATAAACTTGTATAATTATGTTTTATGTTTTAGGAACAGGGAGTTCTTCTAATGAATTTACTGAAGAAGATGATGTAGTTGAAGTGAGCTCTTGTAATGAAACAGAAAGTGATGGGGTTCATACAATAGAAACTTCTAATGAAAGTATTGAAGAAGATGATGCAATTGAAGCAACTTCTGATGCCACTGAAGCGGAAAGCAATGGGGTTCATGCAGTTGAAAATAATGGGACTAACATGGAGAACAAAATGAATGTGGAAGAAAAGGTCCAAGAGCCTCAAGTTGGAATGATCTTTGACAACGCGGATCAAGTGGCTACATATTACAAGGAATATGGGAGACAATCAGGATTTCCAGTGATAAAGAGATCATCAACGAAGGGAGATGATGGAGAATTGAGGTATATTACTATGTGTTGCGCTCGATCAGGTACATCAAAAAGTAATTCAAGTAATCCTCTTAAGCCATATCCAAGTATAAAGAATGATTGCAAGGCTCAGCTAAGGGCAGGTTTATACTTGGGTGAGAAATGGCGAGTGAATTCTGTAAAGCTTGATCATAATCATGGGTTGAGTCCAACAAAAACTCGTTATTGGAAGTGTTTTCGGGAAGTTAGTTCTTCTGTAAAAAAGAAGCTTGAAGTGAATGATAAAGCCGGAATAAGGGTCAACAAAAGTTATAATTCAGTGGTGGTTGAAGTTGGGGGGCATGAGAATATGAAGTGTTTAGAAAAAGATTGTAGAAATTATATTGAAAAGGTGAAGCGCTTACGACTTGGAGAAGGGGATGCCACTGCAGTTCAAAACTACTTTGTAAGCATGCAAGCTCAGAATGCAAATTTCTTCTATGCAATTGATTTAGACAAAAATGGTCGTTTAAGAAATGTATTTTGGGCAGATGCAAGGAGTAGGGCATTGTATGAAGAATTCGGTGATGTTGTAACATTTGACACAACGTACTTGACTAATAAGTACGATATGCCATTTGCTCCATTTGTAGGAGTTAATCATCACGGGCAATCAATTTTATTGGGATGTGGATTGATTTCAAGGGAAGATACTGATTCCTTTATTTGGTTGTTTAAGACCTGGCTTGCTTGTATGTCTGGTCATGCTCCAAGTGGAATAATTACAGATCAAGACAAAGCTATGAAAAAAGCGATTGAAGTTGTTTTTCCTAATACTCGACATCGGTTGTGCTTGTGGCATATAATGAAAAAGGTTCCTAATAAGCTCAAAAGTTATAAGGAATATGAGTCTATGAGCTCTTCGTTAAACAGCATTGTTTATGACTCAATGACTTCTGAAGATTTTGAAGAACGTTGGGCTGAGATGATTGAAAAATATAAGTTTAAAAAGCAAGTGATGCGAGATTTATACGCACACAAATTAAACCCTCTTTTTGACAATTGTGGTATAAGTATAAGTAGGGATCGTTCTGGACCGGGGATTAGGAGGGATTGCTAAAACCTTGGAAACTGACTCAAAAACGTAAAAACAAGATAAAACACTAAACTAGACTCAAAGAATGTGAAACTAAATGTTAAAACACTAAGACAAACCAAAAGACTCAAAATGCTTTAAAAACACAAACTAAATTGATTTCTAACTAAATTGAACAATAAAGTAAAGGGGATTGGATTTGGACGACTTTAAACTAAAAATGGAAACTTGGAAACAAAACAAATTGTAAATATGGATTTGACGGAAATGAATGGATGGGAAGCTAGCTAAGGGGTTCATCTCCACATATGTTATACTTGCATACAAAACGATGTCTAATTGCTTTTCAATAAACCATGAATTCTCAACGCCCCGGGTTAATTAGGTCCGCTTAAATTAACCGTCAAGTTTTCCTTAAGTTAATGAATTGGATGATTGCATACGACAATCCAAAGCATTCCTCACAAGTTCCCTACATGAATTGCATAATAGAGATACAAGCAAGAATCATTAAGCATCATGAAAACTATAAGTGTTGACGAGGCATTCGTTACTATGATTGCATGAAACTTATGCCAAGAATATGTTTAACACGATTGTTTATAAGCAACCTCCACTACTTGTGAATATAAGTTCATAACTATTACGTGAAACTCACTTATATTCTAGCGTCAAATTCATGCATGAAAATTAAGCGTTCATTCTTAATAAACATACATAAATAGGTTATCAATCAAACAGTTAAACAAATTGAATTCACAACTTATGAAACGTAATTAAAAGTAATCAAATCATATTACAAACATAAACATAGTTTCGAATTACCCCCTAGCTAAAGGGGGTTTAGTTCCTCATAACTTTGAAATCAAAGAAACACCTAAACATTCCAACAACTCAAAACTTTGAATTGTATGAACGTTTAAGCACTCTTTTCTTCCATTTCTCATACGTACAAAACAAAGAGAATTAAAATGAAACTTTGAAATCAAAGAAACACCTAAACATTCCAACAACTCAAAACTTGAATTGTATGAACGTTTAGGCACTCTTCTCTTCCTCGTTGTTGTAGCACAAGGTTTAAGGATAGGTTGGTTGGGGGGATGGAAGTGTTGGGGAATTATGGAAATGGATGAGGATTTGTGGAAATGGAAGATGGTTTTTGGATTCTAAGGGAGGGAAAGGAATGTGTTTGTGGTGTGTTGTTGTGTTGTGAATGAGATGATGAATGAATGAATGAATGCAAGGGTATTTATAGGAGTAGTGGAGGGAACATATAGGGAGAGAATGGATGGGAGAGCATGTGAATGATAGCTAGGAGAATGATTAAAGGGGTGTGAATGGTTGGAAATGCATGTGGGTGGATTGGTGGTGCAATGATGAAAGAATAAGTGCATGTGTGTGTTTTGTGTTGGAATGAATGTGGATGCATGATGAAAAGTTAATAAATAATGCATGTAGGGTTAGGAAATAAAATCATAACTTAAAGGGGGGAATGATTAAAGGATGTGGCTAGGTTGGAAAGGTGTGGAAGATGGATGGAATTAGGGGGAATGCATGGCAATGATGGGGAGTTCTTTGGTGATGAATGCAATGATGAAGAGTGAATAAATAATGCATGTAGGGTTAGCTAGGTTGGCTTTGTTTGGGTGCATGTGAGTTAAAGAGGGAGAATGTGGTGAAATGATGAAGTAGGAAGGTGGAAATGCATGTGAATGCATGTGTGTGTGAATGGGTGTTTCTTGATGGTTTTGGGGTTGTGATGCATGTGAATGCATGTGGCTAAGGCTTGTTGATTGGGCTAGAGGTTTTGCATGGCTCAAAGGATTGTTTGATTGGGCTAGGCCCTTTGTTTTATGTCCAAAGTGCATACAAGGCTTTCAAATTCGTCCAACACTTTGGCTCCAAAAATATGCTATCCATTCCAAGCCCAATTTTGCTCCAAAATGCTCCAAAATGCATCTTTTTGCTTCCTTAGCCATATGAACCTAAAAACACACGAAAATGGCTTAAATTACTAAAACAACTATGAATTAACAACATAGATGCACGAAAACAAGCTAAGTAAGTCGCCTAAATATGCTCCTATCAGCAAGCACATAAATGGTTAAGAAGCTTGTATGCAGAGAGACATCATTGGGTGCCTGTGTATGTGAAAAATAAATTTTGGGCTGGAATGTCAACGACACAAAGGAGTGAGAGCATGAATGCATTTTTTGATGGCCACGTGAACTCAAAGACTACTTTAAAACAATTTGTGGAGCAATATGAGAATGCATTAAGGAGTAAGGTGCTAAAAGAGGCTTCTGCAGATTCTGATTCTTTCTCTTCGAATGTTCGTTGTGCAACTCATTATGACATGGAAAAGCAAGTTCAAGCTGTTTACACGATTTCAAAATTCAAGGAGTTCCAAAAGGAATTGACAAGTATAATGTATTGTGACAGGGTTTCAGTTGAAACTGATAATGCAATTTTGGAGTACCAAATAGCTGAGCGTATTCTGATCAAGGAGAACAAAAAGAAGACTGTCATTTTCAAGGTCCAGTTTAACGAACGTGAGATTGAAGTTAATTGCAATTGCTGCAAGTTTGAGTTTAGAGGTATATTATGTAGACATGCGCTTTATGTTTTAGTTCATCATGACATTGACTCTATGCCAGATAAGTATATCATTAGGAGATGGAGGAAGGATGTGAAAAGATGCCACACAAGGGTTAGGATAAGTTACAGTAATTGGGTTGCTACACCTGAAGCACAGAGATCTGACAAGATGCAGAAAACCTTTGACGACATTAAGGAATTAGCCAATGATTCTGATGATAAGTGTATGTTTGTGGTGAGATGGATGCATAAACTAAAGGAGCAACTATGTAAACATGATGGAGCGGCTAGTAGCACTCAACCAACACCACAGTCACCTGATGATACGAACTTTGATCCTCTTCCTAACCCAAATCAGCGTATACTTACGCCATTGTTAGCTAGAGGTAAAGGTCGTCCACCATCAAAAAGGAAACAATCCAAGATTGAGCAAGTAATCAAAAGAAGACAAAAAAGACGGAAAAAGATTACGTCTTGTAAGGACAATACAGATGAGGAAGAAACACAGGTAACAAACATATTTGTTTTATATGACTAATAAGTTGATAAATCATAACATGCTTCACTTGCGACTTTTGTAGAAATCCATGGAAAGTGATGCAATATGCCATATTGATGGTCCACCTCCTTGTAGAAGTGATAACATAATTGCAACGCAAGAGAGTAATGTTGTTGTGGAGGTATGCGATAAATATATTGATCTTCTTGTTATCTTTTTACTTAGTTAATAATCATTGTCATTATAATTACTATATTTACTCTTTGTAATTGTAATTACTTTTATTCTTTGGGATTTAGCGTTCTCATCTTACACAAGGAGTTCAAATTTGCATGCCTGCCAACCAATATCCTATTTTTCCCCATACTAATGTAAGTTGTGCATTTTGTTCTATTGATGGTGATTTTGAATTGCTTGTGTTACCTATTGAATAAATATTACCTATTGTAGGAAAACATGGCTTTGTTATTGGGACTCAGTCGAGGTAGTCATCCAAACCCATTTTACAAAGAGTCTAAGATTGGAAATATAAGTTATCCTACTATTCATGGAAATTATGTCCAGGTAAACATTGAGAGGATGCATTTAATCCTTTTGTTGTTATTAATTAAATATTTATTTACATCACATAGTATAATGCTCTATCTGTAGTTCTTATGGTTTTTTTTTTCTCTCTCTCTTTATTTAGGGTCAACAATATCCATACTGGAATGGAGGTTATAGTATGTACAATATGCAGAGCTCTACTTCAAGAGGAAATGATGACCAAGAGCTTAACTAAGCAATGGAAGCAACAATGAAAGCAATTTCTTTATGCAGTTTGAGTTTTTGTGGTTTTGGATCCTATTTCTTCTAAACATAGACTTCAATGCATTTCAAATATTTTGTAACAGTAGCCAGTATGCAGACGTGTTGCTCTTCTAATTCTTGTTGTACTAAAAGTGGAGTTCAATCAAATTCTTAAAGGGAGCATATGTTTAATCAACAAAATTGAAAAACGAAATGCCTATATCAAAACACCGCTTTCTAAAGCTATAAACCAAAAACCAATTTCTTCCAAGATTCAATCTTGCATTCCTGCAGCAACGATTATAGCTTAAGAAGAATGCAGAGCACAAATATTCATAATCTGATCATGAAAATGTTTCTACTTTTTATTCACATTTACAAGTTGTAGAACAATATTGATTGACCTGGTAAATCTACTATATACAAATAGTGTCCAAAAAATTGGAGCAAAATCCAAACCAGAAAAAAAGTACAAAAAATCTTAGAACAAGAATGTTCGTCATCTAACTGCAGAAGCAACAATATGAGCCCACTATTTAAGATTGTCTTTCATGTCAATTTCATTCTTCAATGCAGAAAACCTCCAATTCATCAATGGTTTTTCTATCTTCCTCTTCTCCCTGACCTCCCAAGCTTCAAAAAGGTATGGCCTTGTACTTGCAGACTCATCAAAACACTCATCTTTGCTATCATCCTTCTTTCCCAATCTTTGCTGCCCATAAATGATTTTCTCCAAGAACCCTTCTGGCAACACACCCTCCAAATCAAAGTCGTCAACTCCGAGGACCTACTTTATTTTCGCATCAACCAACGGCTTCAACTCCGTGGTGATATTATGTTTGCCAATATCAGTAAGTAAATAACACCTTAAAAAACTTTCTCGAAACAGAAAAAAAGTAATGCTTTACCTGACTAGTGCATTGTAACGACATAATTTGCTGCTTTTGTAAATTTTCTTGCCAATGGAAAATTGGATTGCATTAGTATCAAGAGGTGCAGTAGCATCAGGCCTAAAGGTAACACAAGGTCACTTGAAAACTACAGAGGAAGGATACTTAGAAAATTATACTTTTTAGTCTTTGTAAGTAATTGTCAATGCTTTCTTGCTAAAACTCCAATGATGTCATACTCACTACTATTCACATACATTACCAAATTAATAAGTAATCAAATTATAAATTGCTACAGTCTAAGGCAGTACATTGTTTCCGCAACTTCCAATTATCATCAGTGGCAACATTCAGTAGCATATAATATTGGAAAGCTAGGCCAATTACAATAATTAGATAATTTAAAAAATAAAATTAAAAATTTTGAACTGGACAATATGAACACTTCATAGTGCTGACCCTGTCAAGCGCAAGAATTCTAACATCGGGTGGGTATATACACTAAATTTCTTCATATGAAACCTACACTTGGATGCAGAGGATACCTTATGTGTTCGAATCTGGTTAAGCAACTCTCTAAATGAATCTTCCATTCCTTCCCCAAAGAATTTAAACACAGGTAATGGAACACAAAGATCAGATAATTAAATACCAAGATTTTGAAAGAGATGCACAACAAGATGACAATACGACCGAGTAGCAGAAAAAAAAAAAAACAAAAAAAGGAAATCTCAATTGCTTACAAATTTATAAATATTGCACTTCTTAAAAGTTTTTAAAAGTTATATCCCACTTCGTTGAAGATTTTAGAGCTATAAAAATATGTATGTGCTTGTTTGTATGCATGGGGTATATACATTTATATCGAGTGGGTTTCATTCAAACCGTTTTGTTTACTCTATTAATCTAAGAATTACAAACCTCCAGTAAATGGTATATACAAATTTTCCAAGCTTTTCATAAAAGAAAAATGAAACTAAAACTCCAATTTCTTGAATCAAATTAACAGATAAGTAGAACCCGAATGCCAATAAATAATAAAAATAATTACCTTCATATATGGGGTTGCTAATAATCATCACGTGGTTAGTGTCCTCCAAATTTTCGGGTTCTTCTTCAACCCCCAGTGTCATTTTTCTATGAACAAATTTTCAGGTATTCACCTTAGTCTCTTTTTTATTTTGGAAAGTTGGGTTTGCAATAAGCTAGACTAGTTACTTAGGTCCTGTACCTGTAGAAGAGAGAGAGAGAGAGAGAGAGAGAGAGACAGAGAGAGAGTGAGAACTGAAAGAGGAAATGATTTCAGATTTTTTATTTTGGAAAGTTGGGTTTGCATTCTTACCTCAATGGTTTGAGAACTGAAACAAAAAGATCTGCTTCCATCAATGGCAAGGCTACTGAACAAAATCTGGGCTAAAATAAAAAAATGGCATGGAAGAAGAAACGGAAAAAGAAGCATCGGGGAAGGAATGAGAGGAGAGGAGAGGAGAGGAGAGGAGACTCCTCGTATGCCACAAATACCATTTAATTTCAGATTTTTTTATTTATTATTAGTTTATTAAATAGATTTTAATTTAAATTAAATTATGATTAATTTGATGATGTGGACAGCCACATCAGATGCCACATAATGTGGTATACTAATGTGGTATATTAATGTGGTAAGAATAGCATTGTTGTATTTAAAATAAAACCCTCAAAATACAAGAGGTGCAAGAAAAACTTTCCTAACAAATTTGGGTTGGATTTGATGCAATGGGATCCGCGGCATGGCCTGAGCAGGACGGAGGAGAGAGACTGGTTATTTAGTCACATGAGCAATCTTAGAGGAGTTGTTTGGTTATGGCTTTAAATGACACATGGTTTTATTTGATTGGACCACGGGTAATTTCAGTATATTGGGTCCTCCAAGTATTATCCATGTTTTTAAAGAAGTAATTTAGAACTTCCAGCAAGAGAGGCAAGATGGAGAAAAAGCTGGTACTGGCAGATTGTTTGACCAATTCTCGGGAGTCGTGGTGTTTGCCTTGGACACGTAAACCACGATTAGCACTTAATTAATTAATTAAGTATTTAATCCTTTTAATTTCTTCTCTTTTTCTTTCTTGACTACTTTCATATCCAATTTGTCTCAACTAGTTGATAAATATTATCTCTAATAATAATTAGCTTGTTTTTTGTTTAATACATATTGGTCCATTGGACCCAAAGCTCCTTGGAATTAATATTTTAATTAATTTGAAATTATCAAACAAAAAGACTAATCAGGTTCTTTGATTTTTGCGTGTGAAAAGAGTGAAGACACGCTAAAGATATTTAACATTTACGATGACTGTATATCCATCTTGTCGGTTGGAACTTGGACTGTTAAGTGTCGGTTGTGTTTGAAATGTTCTCCACCCTTCATAAAATTTTTGCCATGCAACTATTTATATGCGGCCAAAATTAGGTGCATTTTTATACCAATTTTGATCAATTGATAAAATACCACATGGAAGATGAACTTTTATGATACGATGTATACTTTAAATTAGTCCAATTTTAGTAAGTGAGTTTAGATTTGAGTGACAAAGAAAATAACATTACCTTGATCCACTTGTCTAAATAGCGATCAACCGCACATTTGTACATAGCAATTATTTGGAAGTTGGATGTTATCAAGAATGTTAAACTATCGGTATCCATAGAAATATCGATGTACAAATTTGTGAAAATATCAACAGATATATCAAATATCGAATATCGATATTGGTTGCTTTTGATGAAAAATATATAAATTTGAAATAAAACTTTTGGAAATGTCAAACACTAGTTTGAACAAATATAAAAGTTTCTTCGATATTTAATTGATAAGTCAGAAATATTAAAAAGATTTGTCGACTTTAATCTAAACTTAAAAATTTCTCCGATATGAGGTAAAGTTTAGACTCTGGCTCCCATTTTCATATCTTTTTCAGATTTTTAAGATACTTTCATGGAAATATCAAAGAAATTTCTAACACGGTTAAAAAGGCTATTATGGTTAGTTTTATTTATATGGGGTTTCATGTGCTCATTTCATCATGCTAATCAAAAGGGGGATTAGATTCTTCCACCATTTCCAAACAATGTGAAAACAAAAAGCCCTCCTAGCCTACACTAATATTAAACACTAAAGATTAGGTAATGTTTCATTCAGAAAATCAAGTCAACCATTAAAAAGCTAAATACTTAAGAAACAGTCTTCTATACAAATGTTTGGTGCTTTGCTTTGCTGTATATTCCCCAAACTCTAATTTTCCTTTTTACCTAACCTCTCTAAGTCCCTGTCTTCTCTAAAACATCACTTACACAACACGAATTTACCACCACTGCTTTTTCTTTTTACATTCTCATTTGTTTTTCCCTCTCCAAAATTCAAACAACTGTATTTTAAAATGGTGGGCCCCACCCCTCCAGCCTTTCAATTCGCCGACCCAAAAAAAAAAAAGCAAACCCACCTACAATGTCCAACTACTGTCGCCCAATTCCTCTCTCTCTCTCTCTCTCTCCCCACCAAATTGGAAACTTCCTCCTTAATAATGAGATCCGATGAGCCCCAAATTGTACAGATTCCTTCTCACTAGGCTCCCAAGTGATAACAAAACTGCCCCACCAACTCCTTGCTGCTCCTCCCTCTCCCTCATTTGATGGTAAATCAATGGAAGTTCCTTCACTTTCAAGTTACTCAACCCGATTTTCTGTCTCACTGATTCTATGGTTTTCGCATCCGCAAGGTTTCCCATTGCATCCGTCACGTAGAATACGTTTAGCGCCTTGTCCGTTGTCGTGGATATCTCGGCCCTCGTCACGTTTAGACCGTTCTCGCGGAATGTCCTTGTAACATAAGCTAGAAGACCTTGTCTATCCTCGGTGCATAGTTCTAGCCTCACACCCTGAAATACAACAAAACCCAATTTAACAATTAGCATTTGCAACATCATGGAACAATAACAAAATGACATGATAAACAATTTGATTGAAGAGGAACTGAAAAATGAGCAATACCACAGATGCTCTTCTTTGAACCGCGGCCTGTAAGCATTGGATTACACGCTGTTGTTCGGGTTCAGAGCTAATTGGGGTTCCATCAGTGTGCCTAATGTAAAATTCCTGAAATATAATTCAACCACAAAACACAAGTCAATCTCATGCTTCAATATAATAATAACAAACATGCAATTAACCAAGTTATTAGGAAAATAAGTGCATACCATGTACCCTCTGTCCCCAGATGTATTAATAGTGGCATGAAAAACCACGTAGTCCATGTCTGTCAACGTGCAAACAACGTCGAACAAAAGCTTTGCCCTATCCTTGCACTGAATATTCACTATGGAATAACCCCTTTCAGCCCAATTCTGCACCGTTATGACCGGAGAATTGGTGCAATGCTGTAAAACGGGCTTTCTGTCATAATCGCGATCTGCAAACATCATTTGATGCAGTCTTCTTTCGGTGTGTGCAACTGCCATTGAAACTGAGGTTTTCGCGCTTCGAATATCATTGTCCCCTTTAAGAACATTCCTTAACCGCGCTTCAATCCTATCAATTTTCTGTGAGTCCTCAATCGGGCAACCGGAATCACAATCCTTAACATAAATCAATGAAGCAATTCGGCCATTGTGCGTCCACACCTTGGACTCAACCACAATGCATTGCAGGTCAGCTAGCACCGCAAACACCTCGGAAAGAAGGCCTACTCGGTCTGTCCCGGTGAGCTCAAGGGCCGTAAAACCGTTACTACAGTTGGATGTACCAAAATGAATTGTCTCAAGTGACTGCCAAACACAAGAAATTAAACAATTTCAGTTTCAATTGAAAATGAATTTCACTAGTAAAAAATGGGGATTAAACTAGAATTAAATGAAATATTTATTAACCTGCTCAATATAGTTAATAACGCTCTCGTCTGTTAATTTATTCCCGTTCTGATCAGTTACATGAAAAACTGCAGTAAAAACAGAAACCATATTAAGAAAAATAATTCAAAAATAAATACCAAAAAACGAAAGGGAAAAAATTGAAGATATTCGTACCAGCCATGAACCAGCGACCATCAGAAGAAATGTACGCTTTTTTAATGGAGAGGTTGAGATCCGTGAGGACCTGAACAGCCTCCAGAAGAATTCCATGCCTTCTAGCACTGTCAACCTGCGGACCCAAAAAAAAAAAAAAACAAAAACAAAAAAAACCCCATTAGTCAAACTTTGTGGAAGAATTCAAACCTTCTTTTGGGGTTTTTGGTAGGGAGAAATTACAAAATTTGGGTTTTACGGGGAAGCAAACCTTGACTAAAGTCGCAGTGGAGCAGACGGCATTGTCGATCACGACCCTACAAACCGAAAGCGTGAAAAATGGTCAAGTCAGAGAAGCACCACCGCAACACCTTTTTCATTTAATTGTTTTCTATTTTTATTTCCCCAAGTTTTTAAATTTCAAAGTGAGGAAGCATCAAGTATGTACGAGGAATTGTAAGAAAAACCCAGAAAATTCAAAAAATAAATTAAAATAAAACCATGGAATTTAGGAGAGAAAATAAATGTGGAGTGAAAAATGGGTCAGATGGGAAATATCGAGAAGAGATTTGGATCGTTGAAAATTCTCTCGAGAAAATTCGAGATCACAGCGGTAATGAAAGATTTTGAAAGCCAGAAAATCCATAATACCAAAAAAAAAAAAATAGGACTAAAACATCAAAATCCAGAAACCAAAAGACCCAAAATGTTGAAGGAGTGGTGAAAATTTTCTCGAGAAAGTTGGAGATCACAGCGGCGGTGGACCGGAAATTCCATAGAATAAAACCCAGAAAAACCCAATGTTTGAAGATATGATGTAAGTACCTGGGGGTGTTCATCCGGAAGACGAGCTTCTCATATTCGCCGAGGCAAGCAGTCCACTCCATCGCTCTGATTTCGTCGAGACAGAGGGAAGCAACTCTTGTTGTCCTTTAAAGGGAAAGAAAAATCTCAGAGATTCTGCGTGTGTTTTAGCGACAAAAGTATCGATGAAACAGTAAGCGAGTAACCACAAACTTCTCCGCCGTATGAAACAAATTCAAATGCCAGATGCCTACAGACTCTCGCTTCTTCGGCCAAATCGCCGTGAATTCTCTCTCTCTCACTTTTTATTTCGCAGCGGAAGGCACGCCTTGTTCTCAGCACACTGCCTCTACGACTACGAGCTATCTTTATATAAATTTATATTTATTTACAAACTAGTCCATCATTTTTTTTACTTTTCTAATTTGATCATTAGTCCCTGGGCAATGCCATGGAAGGTAACCCAGGAGGTAAAAAAAATTAAGATTTAAACTTATGTGGTAAAATTTATTAGAATTTATGCTTAAAATTAAAAATTCTGTCTACTCGTCGCTAATATTAGCATGTGAGTCATACATATGAGGTTAAAACGAAATTCCCCATTGATTGTTATACATAAGGCTTACATGTGAGGATAACATCATATTTTTAGCCTTACATGTGAGTCTTATGTGCTAAAATTAACAGAGAGTTGATGAAATTCTTAATTTAGGGCTTAAATCCTAACATACATCACCATAGAGGCTTAAGTAATTTTTTCATCACAGGGGCTATTTTTCAATTATCATTTAACCACGAGGACTATTAATCCAATTACACTTTTATATTAAGAGAAATGTTAAAAGACTCTCTAAAAATAGAACGCTTTATGGAATCTCTGTCATTAAGTTTATGGAGAGTCCTATTTTGAGATAGCCTCTTTAACATTTGTCTTATAGTAATTGTTATATATTCAAAATTTTAAATTATGCAACATATTAGTAAAAAATAAAGGGTTGTTTAATTAACACCTCACGTATTGTTGAATACAACTCACATCTACTTTTTCAATCAAAATTTATCTTAGGACACCTCACATACTTTCCTATATTATCCTGACACCCCAAACTTTCTACATACACCCCACGTTCTTCACATACATTCAACATTCCCTCATTATTTATTCTCACCACACCTCCAAATTTTAAGGCTCTCGCTAAACATGTAAATGCTAATTATGAGGTTGACTACATGACATTCGATTGTTGGTTTATTTTATTGGTAGTGCACAAATCCAAAATTTGTATCTCTCTCTACTATTCCTCTAAAGTCAATCTCACAAAATTTTGACCCAAAAAAGAATAATAGGACATGGGTGATTTTTTGTTTTTTTTTTTTTTCAAAATTATAATGGGAAGATTGTAATGGGTTCAATTCTTTTTACTGTACAAAACTCAAAAGAAAGTAGTGCCAACTACGGATGGGCAAAATACCCGTGGTTACCCGCCCATTTAAACTTCACGGTTATGGTTATGGGTAACCGTTTAGATAAATAAATTGTTATGGGTATAACCGTTTACCCGTGAAATTTAAATGGGTGGTTATGAGTATTAACCGCGGTTATAAATGGGTAACCGTTTACCCATTTATTTTATATATGTAAAATTTGGTGAGGAAGGGGAACGGAAGGCTTTCGTGTGGGGAACATTTTTCCCACCCGGTTTAAACTTTGGTGCACATAACTCCCTGATTTGGATCCTCTCCTGAGCTAATGGAGAGGATCCTCCTCATCAATCATCGTGGACCGTTGGATTTTTATCCAACGGCTAAATCATTATAACTTTAGAGGGACCCCCTGTTTGTAGCCTTTGGATAAAAATCCAACGGCCCACGATGATTGATGAGGAGGATCCTCTCCATTAGCTCAAGAGAGGATCCAGATCCATAACTCCCTACCTACTGTGCTGCCATGTGTCCCATAATTAATAATCTAAATCATCTAAATAATCTAAATAATCTATTAATAATCTAAATTACCCATTTATTTATTTCAAAAAGGAGTTACGTAACCGAAGAATACTTAGCAAATATTATATTACCTTCATTCGTAACAGTTAAAAATATCGTCCGTAAACTATTATTTTAATTATTGGAATGGTATAAGGACTTAAAAAATTAAAATGCGGAAAAGTATGATGAATATTGAAGGAAAATTTGTGAAAAACATGTTCATTTAAGCAACATCAATAGCATGCAATTAACAATTTAAAGGCGGAATCATGCTTGTATGCACTTAAAACAAAACATTTACCCATGAAATTCAAAGCCTAGTAGATAGGTGAACCAAGACTCAACTCAAAACAAAGTGAGTTGAGAAATCAATACCTTTGTAGATTCCTCTTTGCATAAGCAAAGGCTAATCACCCAAAGAGAGGGCCTTCATTTCTTGCATCTTGGATCCATGGATTTGGATGGATGAAAAGGTTTCTCCAAGTTCCCAAAATTGAGAACCTCTAAGTCTCCACACCAAGGTATATTGTAGAAGAAATGAGTGACCTAGAGGAAGTAAGATTGCTAGCTATTCCCCTCTAGATTGGCCAAAATTTTTGAGAGAAATGAGAGCTTGTGTTCTCATCCTTTCCCCAAAAATAACCCTTAGTAAATTTTAGGCTATAAAGTCCTTTATATAGTCCCTTCAAATAAGTGACCTAATGGACCAAAAGCCCTATTCTTTTACACATGGCTAGCCTATAGGTTTATTGGGCTTTCAAGCCCTTTGTTTTATTCAAGTTGTCATACAACTTGAGTTAATGGGCTTGACATTCAAATCCCATTGGACCTTGCGGCCCAAAACTAACCCGAGGTCTTTTAACGAACTTATTCGTTTGATTAATAATCATATTAATTAATCCTTGCCATAAATAATTAAACCATTTAATTATTCTTACTCATCTCCGTTGAATCTTCAATCTCTACCTTACACGGTGTACGATCCATTAGGTTCCTTTTAGCGAGGCAGTGGGCGATTCAAACTCTTTCAAATCGATTGTGAATTGAAACTTACTTTCAATTCTCCCGTTAGTGATAATACACTTTTAGGGCTTCCACAAACCATGAGTGACACCTAGCAGCATATCATGGTTACCCAAGCTAATCAGAAGAGGTGGAGAACCTATTCAGTTTAGGATTACAAATGCAATACGGTCTTTCTCTAATACAATACTCTTGACCACATTGTTTGGTTTGATAGTTTATTCATGTCTACTATCCAATGTGAATCTGGTACTTATATGATTACCTTGAATGTGATCTGGAACGCATTCCAACATCTCATTCATACTCTGGCCAGAGATTCTAAATCATATCATAGAGTATTCTCCCTCAAACAGTTTGAAGGTTAGAGATCCCTTGTTGCGCATTCACTTGCCTCCATGGCTAAGTGGCTTAACCCCAACGATGCCGTGGACACCCTGATAGAGTGACTTTGACATAATCAAAGATTAAGGACCTAACCACAAGACAACTGTGATGCCTCAGGTCAAAAGACTAATTTGCATTATCCCAACCATGAGTTCTCATGTGACATGAATATGAGAACTCTTCGTTGATCGTGTTCAGTGAACTCATTCTCTATTGAGCACCTACGTACTTGTCTTGATGTCACACACACCAATGACTCGAGACTAGTCACTCTCCCTGAGAGAAGACATAGCACGTACTGATCTTAACGGACTGTCAATGCCCAATTGACAATCCTATGATCAGGAACGTTTAGGATGTGTCAACGAAAGAATGGTCTCATGAATCTAACTTCTTTAGATCGCATTCTTCCAATCACATATTCCTTGGACTTATCGTTTAAGCATATAACATTTATATTAGACGGCTCAAACAATAATCTTTGCCCTTTAAACTATATTAGTTTGAAATGTCCGTAAAGTATCATCATATGATTGGTTTTAGGGCACATTTCCAACAATCTCCCACTTGCACTAGAGCCAATCAGCTTAGTCATCATTGATGATACCTATTCTGTAATTCATTTCATAAATGGCTGAGTAGTAGGCCTAAACAATGGATATCTATATGTTATCCATAGAAGCAACCTTGAGAATAACGACGTCACCATTATACATGATTCTCAATCATGTAGTTCAGTCTCTCATTTGAGTTTGGACCTTGATGAGACCTTGATTCCCTGGCTTGAGCTATCGCCCCATTAGTGTCATACACTTTCTGGTTGGAACCGAATGAAGAGTTCATGAATGAACTTTCCCATCCAAACAACAATGTTGTAAGCTTCTATATGGCAATATATTTTGCATACATGATGGAACACATTAAAGTCATTTACTTTTAACGTTTCCACCCAAATATCTCTTTAGTCATAATAAAGAGATATCTCATTATCACTTCATTCATAATGAAGAGATATTCTATGATGGATTAGATTCATAATCTAATACATTTACGCTTCCATTACGTTACTCTAATTCTTCCTCATTCTTGAGGAATCCATCCTTAGTATTTCTTAAATACCTAAGGATTCACTTGACAGTTGCCATGGTTCTGATCCTGGGCTTGCACTGATATCATCTTGTACCGTTCTAGGTACAACTTATATCAATGTTTTCATACAATATGAAATACATAAATCACCTTTCTGCGTATGCATAAAGGATTCTATTTACGCATTATTTCTTTGGGAGTCAAAGGGTACATTCCCTTTGATAAAAACAACTTCCTAGTCTCACTAGAATTGTCATTCTAATTGAAGTTTATCATCATATGAGAAACTTCCTAGCATCTCATTGTCTATTTTAGGGATTGATATAATTCAATTATATCTTGAAATATATCATTATAGATTTCCATCCCATGTATATAGACTATGTCTCCCATATACATTCTATCATTATAGAATGTTTAAAGTCATAACTTTAACGATGAAGAATTCCTTTCATTTTCAAAATTAATATATATTTTCATGTATATATATTCAAATTTAGGAATATGATCAACTCCCACTAATCTTTTGTAAACCTAGTAAACAAAAGATTCATTTACATCTTTATGAGAAATCAAACAATTGATCTTTTCTCATAAGACGCTTATGGCTCCCACTAGCTTGCTAAGATCCATGATGGATGGATCTTCTTACAACTAACATGTCTTAGAAGTATATATCATATATATATGGGTAATTGATAATGTCCAACGAACTAAATCTTATTTATGTTCATTCTCTTCCTAATGGAGAAATTCATTATTTTATGATGCTACTTTCCTTGATATTTTTCAAGGAAATTAATCTAAAGTGTTACTTTTTCCTTGGATCAAATCTAAGGAGGTAAATA